GGACATATGTTTCACATGTTTTCAGTTTTTATGGTTATATACCTAAGAGTGAAATTGCTGAGTCATATAAACAGAGTGTTTTTCAAAATGGCTGTGTCATTTTTAAGAAATGTCTTCTTTTAAAAAATGTCTTTTGCCAATTAAAAAATTTTATTTTCAGTCCTGGGGATTGAATCCAGGGCCTCACACCTGCCAGGTAAGCCCTCTGCTTCTGAGTGGCAACTCCAGCTCCCTTTGCCCATTTTTAAATTGATCTCTTTGTCTTTTTATTTTCAGTTTTAAGAGTCCTTTATATATTCTATCTACTAGACCTTTATCAAATATATGTTTTGCAAATATTTTATTCCTTTCTGTGGGTTATCTTTTCCATAGTTTTTTTTTTTTTTTTTTTTTTTTTTTTTTTGTGTGTGTGTGTGTGATGCTGGGGATCATACCCAGGGCCTTGTGTATGTAGGTAAACATGCCGCCACATGCTTACACCTAGCCCTTTTTCACTTTCCTGATAGTGTCTTTTGAAGCACAAGAGTTTTTAATTTTGATGAAATTATCTATTTTTCTTCTGTTGCTTGTGCTTTTTGTGTCATATATAAGAACCCATTGCTAATCTAAGATCATGAAGACATACCCTTATGCTCTTTTCTATGAATGTTATAATGAATGTTATAATTTTGGTTTTTAAGTTTAAGCATGATCTATATTTTAAGGTATTTTTTATGTATGTTGTGAAGTGTGGACCCAATTTCATTTTTCTGCATATGATTATCCAGTTGTTCTTGAACCATTTGTTGAAAACACTATTCTTTCCCCACTGAATTCTTTTGGCACCATTTTCAAAAATCAAATGGGCATATATATGAGGGCTTTTTAAAGATTCTTAGATCTATTCCATTGATCTACATGTCTATCTTTAATCCAGTACCACACAATCTTCATTAATGCAGCTTTGAGGAGAATTCAAAGTGAAGAAATGTCAGTCTTCTTTTTAAGATTGGCTATTTGAGCTTCCTCTAATTTCCATATAAATTTTACTGAATCAATCTGTGAATCAATTTGTGGGAGGCTGTCACCTAAATAAAAGTGTCTTTTGATCCACAAAGGATGTCTGTCCATTTATTTAGATTTTCTGAAAATTCTTTCAATAATGTTTTGTAGTTTTCAGAGCATAAATCTTGCAGTTCTTTTAAAAATTTGTTCCTAAGTATTTTATTCTTTTTGATGCTATTATAAATGGAAATGTTTTCTAAATTTCATTTTGACATCAGGCACAAGGTGCACACCTGTAACCCCAAATGCTCAGGAAGGTGGGACAGGAGAATCACAAGTTCAAGGCCAACCTGAGCAATTTATAGTGAGACCCTATATCAAAATAAGATTAAAAGGGCTAGTAGTGTAGCTAAGTGGTAGAGTGCTTGCTCAGCATGCATGAGACCCTGGGTTCAACATTCAATACAAAAAATAAAAATAAGAAGATAATTTTCAGTATATTTATTGCAAAGAAATAGAATTTAATTGACTTTTGTATCTTGATCTTGTATCATACAACTTTGCTGAATTTGAATATTAGTTGCAATTGTTTTTAATGAAGCCTGTAGAATTTTCTATATACAAGCTAATGTTATCTGCAAAAGAGATGTTTTTACTTTCTCCTTTACAATCTGATGACTTTTATTTCGTTTCCTTCTCTAATTGTCCTGGTTAGAACAATTAGTAAAATGTTGAATAGAAATGGTGACAGTAGACATCCTTGCCTCTTCCAGCAGTTAATGGGAAAAGCACCAGTCACACCTTTAAATATACTGTTAGTCACACCTTTAAATAAGCTATTGACTGTGGTGTCTCATAGAAGCCCTTTATTGGGTTGAAGAAGAACCATTCTATACCTAGTTTATTGGGCTTTTGTTTAGGATTTTGTATAGGGCTGTTGTTATGGATTTTTGTATCTAAAAGAGGTATATTGGGTCTATGGTCTTTTCCTGTTACAATCTTTTTGGTGAATTGTTTTTTTGTTTTTTTTTTTAATAATAGACAAGTTAAAAACCAAATGGGTATTAGTTTTCATCTTGGCTGGGCTAATCATCTTCATCCACTCACTGTTACCAAGTCATATAGTTTTAATTTTTTTAATATTACAGCTATTTAAAATAAATCTTTCCTGCATGTCTTACCATGTATACTTTTGTATATAACTTATTAAAATTATCTGATACTCTGAGTACTTGACATAAAATATCCTTTATTGGTTCAAATTTCTATAGCCAAAAAACAAAGAACTTGCTGTCAATCATAAATCCCACTTCTAGGACTAGAACGTGTATAAATCATGTTCTCTGAGGCTCATTTGTAAAAATAGGGAGGAATCCTCAGCATTGTCCTGAGGATGGACTGAGATGATTGATATCCATGAGAGGATATGAAACACTGTAAACTCAATCATATTTATTGTTACTTCACAAATTATATATCACAGCATCTTCTTGAATAGAAAGTTATTCCATGGCATGCAATCTCTTGAAAAGCCTCTATTGCATAAAGACTAAATGCTTTTTATAATCTGTTTTTAGAAGTTATTTTTCAGTTCTTTTATCTTTTTCTTTCTTTTTTCTTTTCTTTTCTTTTTTTTTTTTTGCCTAGATTCTGTGAGTTGTTGCTTATTTTGGAAACTTGGAAAGTACCATGCAAATACAGATATAGCTATGCTAGTTAAAAATAAAATACTTAGAGTTTGCTGATGAAGGAAAATATGATGCTATGTAGGTATAACTGCTTGATGAAAATCAGATTTGCATTTCAGAAGAACATTTCTGGAGAAATTTAGATGAATTGAAAAGCAGGAGCCAAATACTTCTCCCAGATGATAGTTTATAACTCTCATTGAAGTCAAAAGTAATTCTGAGGGTAGAATTTGGGCCACGTGTTTGGAAAGTTTGAAGGAAAAAAAAAGGCAGCATGCATAAATTTCCAAAACTTTTCAAAGTAGTTAGATGAGAGGCTATTTGTAGTTATGGATTTGGGAAATGTTTTCTCCATTGGCAAAATGTTCATAACACTTTAATTTCCACAGGATGCTAATCATGATAGAATTTAGTTAAATAATCACTTAAGTAGTGAAAACTACATCCATGGTAGTACCAGTTATATTACCTAACATAAGAATTTATTTAAATTGTTTATCTAATGCATTATTTCAAATGAAATATATCATTTTTAGATTGAGATGAAACTTTTCAAGAATACCTATTTCATATCAGTAAGTCCATATTTAGTATCTATTAATAGCTTATCAGAAATTACCATAGAGCTTTTTTCTTGCAGTAATTTCACAAGAGTTCCTTTTTCACATTCCACATGTTGACATCATGACAATTAAAAATTTTAAAATTAATTAAAAATGGACAGAATGACAATTTTTGTAAGAGGTATTGTACAACTTTGATTATGATGTTCAAAAGGGTTATAGGTTAGTTAGCTGTCTTTGACAGAGTTAAGTCTTATTTCATGAAAATTATTTTATATCTTAGTATGTATCAGAGTAGAGGTGGCAAGTCTTTAGTCTATTTTGGACAAGGGTACTAGCCACAAAGGTCATATCTATATGTTGATACTTATCATTACACCATCTATGACACAAACAATACAGATGCAAAGAGTGAAACCTACAGGACAGGCTTTCTTTGAAAAAGTGATTAAGACTATCTTTATCAAGGTACAAGGTTAAGAGGCCAGAGAAGAACTGCAGGGATATTTTTTCTGTTCTAATGATTTGCTAAATAACCACAATCAACCTTTTAAAAATAAAGATAATATGTCAGGGCATATATTAAACACCAGTACCTTACTCAAACACAATTCATTCCTTTTAATTATCCACTTTGTTATCTAATTTTATCCATGTAACAAAGCTCTAAGGCAGGTGGTATTAGACTATCCAACAGATAAGAAAAGTGATAGGTAGCAGAATTTCCTAAGGGAAATAACAATTTACTTAATACCTATTGTGTGCTTAGTATTTCATGTAATATTTCAATTAATTCTCAAAAGGACCTTCTGCAATGAGATTATATCACCCATTTGCAAATGATTGTTCAAAGTTGACCTGCTAGTTAGTAGTGGAGGCCCAAGGACTTGGCAAAAGAGCTAGTCCCAGTGTTTTTTTCACTCAGATCCCAGTTGTTGTTGTTTAATGGTAGGCATTTAACACTGGCTTTACACTGCTGCAATATACAATACATGACAAAGTACAAAAAGTCTAGGAAATAAGTAGGGAAAGTTTAGGAAATCAAAATTTAAAAATATTGATTTTAAACAGAGAACTGGAATTTTATGATTCACATGGTGTTGTCATTTGTGTAGCTAGTGATAACTGTCTTTATTTTTTCATATTACAAAAAGAATGAAATAGATCAATCACACATGGAAACACTTTCTTTCAATTACATTTGCTATGAAAACTTCTGACAAATTACTAGATTTGTACACATTCCTCTCACCAAATGTGCATATGATTCCATTCACATTCCATATCACTAGGGTAAACGGCCTGTTCATTTTCTTGTTTTACCTTCTGGAAATACAGTACATGTTAGCAAGCTAAGTAAAGCTTAACTCCGGCCTGCATAAACATCAAATTGCCAGGGCCAAAGAATCCTGAAAAAAAAAAAAAATCAAACACAATTGGAAGGAAAGGGTGAATATTTATTTTTCTTTCTCAAGTCCACCTGAAACCCACTCAGTGACTCATTTTCAGTTCTCATTATTTCTTTTAATCCTGGAGTTAGAGCTTAGTTGCCTTGTAGAATTGCACAATCTGGAGGAATCCTTGTTGGCATTCTTTCAATCTCCTGTGTATTTTACTAACCTTGGCTAACAAATAGTAGAAAATGATAATGTTATGAACACACGGGAGGGAAAAAGATGAACGGAAACTAGTTTAGAAATGTCTGTGCAGCACAGGGCTCCTAATCTATCTATCTTTCTTTCTTTCTTTCTTTCTTTCAAGTTGTAAAAGTATGGAATGCTTTGTGAATTTGTGTATGACCCTTGCACAGGGGACATGCTAATTTTCTCTGTATCATTCCAATTTTAGTATATAGGCTGCTGATGTGAACACCAGGGCTCCTAATTTCTAACGTGAGTTATCAGTGAGGCTTTCTTAGATGCACCATCGGATCATGTTCATATCCTCAGAGGCTCCCATCGCCATTTATAGCAGGTTTCTCATACTTTTTGGATATGTGAGCCTGTTGGAAATTAAATAATAATAAAGATATTGTCACTCTGTATGGGATGTACCAAAGACATGAATTAAATCATTCTATTTGGCCTTTATATGTTTGACTTTTGAAGTGCAAAGGATCTTTTGACACGTTTCTTAAGGATTTTGATGAGATAAATGCAAGTTATAATGAATAATTACAGCTGGCTGTGGTGGCTTGGGAGGCTGAGGTAGGAGGATCACAAGTTCAAAGCCAGGTTCAGCAACTTAGGGAAGCCCTAAGCAATTTAGCAAGATCCTACTGTAGCAATTATATTACAGTATCGTCCTATGTCCTTTAAATGTAGTAACATTTTGAATCTCCACAGCACCCCTATGAAATTTATAGTATTGTCTTCACTTTACAGGTGAGGAAACTGCCCTATAAATCACTTGCTTAAGGTCTTATAGCTGGAAACCCAGGCAATGTGGCCCTAGAGCCAGTGTTGAACTGTGTCACATGTTTCAGAAAATAGTAATGACCCCCTAACTAGCTATGAACTGCTTCTTGCCCACTGAAGACACAGTCAGGGTCTCCCAAATTAATCATTTTTACTACTTAAATATTTCACTTATTTAATTGAAAAAAAAAAGGACTTATATGCCATTACTCTCTGGGTTAAAACAAACAAACAAACAAAACCCCTGGAGTTAGGTTATACCCAAGTTTTATAACATGATTCTCAAAGCATAATTCATGAACAATATCCATCAGAATCCCTGACACACCTATTTCCCATGCCTCTTCTACAGCACTCATTTAGAGTCTTGGAGAGTGGAACCCAGGTGGTTTTGATGTCCGTTAACTTTTGAGGACACAATTCTATCAGGTCCTTCTTAGATGCCTGCACCTCTTCATATGCACCAACCCCCCACCTGGGCTTCCTCTGAATGTAAGGGGTGCTTTCACACCTCTGAGCCTGAGCTTGCAGTTTCCTGTGCTTGTCAAGTTTCCTCCTCTTACTGTCAGTTGAACTCCCACTCCAGTCAGAGTCAGCTCAAGAGTCATCTCTGCAAAGGCTTCCCTGGGTCTACCAGGCAAGAAGAGTTAGCCGCCTTTTCCATTGTATTCCAATGCCATTAATTCAGACCTCAGTTCTAGCAGAGTGATTCTGCAACTGGTCTGTGCACTTTGGTAACCAGGGAGTCCCCAGGGGTTAGGGTCATTGTGTCTATCTTTGTCAAACACTGAAGATGCCTGACCTGTAGTGGTAGATACAATAAACATACCGATTGAAAGGACCACGAATTCAGTTCTGCCATTTTAATTGCACTAAGATAACAGACCATGTCTGTAACTTTCATTAGAAAATAATTCCTCTAGAGTAGAAGAAAGGAAAATTTTTGACTGTTTTTTTTTTTTTTTGCTTATTTCACATTTATTCCACTTTTTTCTATTTTCCCCTCCTTTTCTTATGTTTTATATTTTGAGTGGACAATACATACACATATACAGAGTTCAAAGAATCCAAGAAAATAGAGAAAAGAAAGTAGAAAGTAGAAAGTGAGAAAATCCAACTTCTCACCTACATTTTCCAACAGTTGAGCCCCTTGTGGGGAGGTAGTCACTGTTATTTTTTAATGTATTCTTCCAGAACTATTTCAGACACATATAAGCAAATATGCATATATGTATCTATCACTATTTTGCATGCTTTTTAAACTTTATGATCCATTCATGTAACTTATAAGCAGTCTCTGAATATGAATGGACCCACATTATTCCATTCTATGAATTTATTGTGATTTTTAAAAATAAGCCATCTCTTGGATGGAATAACTACTCAGCAGCAGAGCACCTGCTGAGCTATATACAAGGCTCTGAATTCAGCCCAAGACATACCTTATTGACATTTAGGTTGTTACCAGTATTTGTTTTTTTTTTTACCTTGATATAATGATGCAATACATAGGTAATTTCACACACGTGTGAGTGCATTTGTAGGATTAAACTTCTAAACATGGACTTGTAGGATTCATAGGTAGTGATAAATATGGCAAAGTGGTTTCCATAAAGATTACATTCATTTCCACATCCACTAGCAAGTCATCAAAATAGCTAGTTCTTCATCTCCTGCTAAGTGTTTTCTTTCCTGAGGTTCTAAAATGGAGAGTACAGTAAACTCTTTATTAAAGGAAGTGTAACCTCATCTACTGGTCTCAGAAGTAAAGACTAGTTTCTTTCTTTTTATTCTTTAGAAAGCTCCATACACTTTTTTTCCTTCCTGGGTAGGCTGATACTGGGGTGGTCATTGTTGGTGTGACCCCAATATTGGTTTTGAACCAGGAGGCCTAGTGAGTTTTCAGAATCATTTCTACTATGCCCTAAAGTGGGATACACCCTATTTCTCCTATTCCTGAAAACTTACCATGTACCAGGCATTGTTCCAGAGGCTGAGGCTTGAACATTGAACTAGACAGGCAAAAGTCTCTGCCCTCATGAAAGATATATTATAATGGGAGGAGGCAGACAGTGAATACAACACAGGAGTATGAGCTATGATGTTTCTTTGTGATGAATGTCATGAGCAAAATAAAGAAAGAAGAGGGTGAGGAGAACGAGAGCCACTCTAGTGAAGGTTGGTCAGGGAAGACCTCATGAGAAGGTGATATTTGAGTTAAGACCAAACTAGGGAGCCATAAGGTGTCTAAGTGAATGGCATTCTGGGTAGAGAAAAGAACCAAAACCTGGGGTTGAGAGTGTGCCTGGTGCGTCCCAGGAGCCTCAAGGAAGAAGGGTGGTTGGTGCTTAGCAAGTGAGGTGAGGTCAGAGAGGTGAGATGGCAGGCCGGGTTGCAGTGGTCTTCACAGTGAGATGGGAAGACCTTTGTAGAGTTTTAGAGGTTATTTCAGAACGGCCCCCAGAGAACAGACTGAGGGAAGGTAAGAATGGAAGAAGGGAGCACTAAACAGGAAGCTTCTGGTGAACCAGGTGGGAAATGAGATGGATTAGACTAGACTGCTGTTAGGACAGTGGGTATGTTTTGAAGGTGGAGTACTATGGTTTGGATATGGATGAAGGGTATCCCTTCAAGGTTCATGTGTTAGAATCTTGGTCCCTGTGGTGATGATGTGAGATGGTCCATGGCGAAGTACTTAGGTTGTTGAGGGTGCTGCCTTCAGAAGGAACTAATGCTGGTCTCATGGAGTGAACAAAAGTAAATTGTTAAAAATGAAGACAGCTTGGCGAGGTGGGCTTCTGTAATCTCAGTGACTCAGGAGGCTGAGTCAGAAGGATTGCAAGTTTGAGACCAGCCTCAGAAACTTAGTGAGACCCTGTCTCAACATAAAAAATAAAAAGGGCTGGAGATATAACTCAGTGGTAAAGTGCACCTGGGTTTAAAAAAGAAGAAAAAGTGAAGAAGAGTAAGTTCCTTTCCAGTCTCTGGTTATCTCTCACCCCATGCAAGTGATCTCTGTTACCCATGTGTTCCTACCATTTTGACAACATTTGCCATTAGGTCCTTACTACAGCCAAGTAGGCATTTTGTTATAGTAACAGAAAATGGATTAATACATGCAAACAGCATGATTTCCTGCATGATTGGATTTCAGGTGTGAGAGACAAGCAAGAATGTCTCCAGGATTCTTGGCTGAAGTGGAAGGAAGGAGTTGCCATTTATTGAGATGGGTGAAGGTGAGGTGTCATGATTAGATTTGTGGTTATAATGGCTTTCTGAGTTTTCTGGGACTCTCAGGTGGCCTTGGTTCCAAATTAGATCATGGCCTGTCCTAGATCATGGCTGAAATGCCTTTTTGGATGAAGGTTTCAAGGAATATGTGTCCAAGGATACTGTCCTTTCTTGAGCTCTCCTTTTCCAAATCAAACTTGCAATGATACATTGTATTAAATGTTGTTACATTTCCTCTTTCTGTGCCAAGTATATAATCAAAAGAAATAGTCAAATACACATACACAGAAAACCTTGAAAACAACTAAAAAATTTGATTTCCCTGCCACTATATAATCAGCAGAACTCGGGCCTCTATTAGAGGATTCAGTGTTCCAAATATAAAAATTAAATTCAATTCTATATTTGCAGATCCCTGATATCAGCAAAGCACTAGTTCGTGTACAATGCCAGGCTAGGCTGGTTGGAAACCACAGCAGGTCAATCTGAAAAGCAGCTGACTGGAGAATGTAATCGGGAACTCATTAGACATTATCCAAAAAGAAGGGATGCACTTAAAACGATAGTCACTAAATAACTTAATAAGATGATCCCTAAAACGGGGCTGTTTATTACAACCACTACACAAAAGCATGGCAAGAGGAAGGAAGCAAAACCATTACTTTAAGCCACATTAGTGGGACAAAAAAAGAACATGGTGATTACTTTATAAGGCTAGGAAGAAACTGAAGGAAAGAAAGAAAGAAAAAATTAGTGTCCTTTTTATACCAGGCAACAAAGTGAGAGTGCTGGATCAGCTTTACTCCCCCCGCCCAATTTATACCATGGCCAGCAGGAAGATCAGAAAACCATCCACTGCTAAAGAAGAACATTTGCTAAAGGAATACGAACTTGTTTTAAAGCAAGTGAAGTGGTGGCCAGACTAGGTGACTCAGAGGCATGACTCAAACCCAACACTTGGGGGCTGTCTGTCAGCTCCTGGAGGCTGGGGGCGCGACGTCTAACACGTTTCAGGAAAGTACCAGGCTCGTGGAGGGCGACAGGAAACCTCCCGGGAGTCTGGGCTGGGGCTCCTGCAGCCCTAGAACATAACCTCTCACTCTCCGCTTCCGGGGAAGTTCCTAATCTCCAGGCTCCCCCCCACCCATTTTTTTCCATCAAGCCTCCCAGGGAGTGTGTGTGTTTGTGCGCTAGACCTCGGGCCTCGGTCCCCCGCCCCTTGCT